AGACCCTTTTGAACAAAGCAACAAAAAACGACCCAAGTCGGATACCAAAGATGTCATCACAAAATTCGCCTCACAATGCACGATCCAATCGAGTCGCAAAACCTTCACCATGAAATTTTGAAGCGACTTACCGCCCCACTTCTTCCCAACGAATTCCTCAAACTGCTTTCCCTTGTTTTTTTCGTGATAAAGAAAGACACAAAGAACTCATTCGTCAACAAAATTATAGCAAATGATATCAAGTTCATCACATGCATTCCAGAGAAGTACAAATCATCAGAGGAGAAAGAGTTGTGCATCGCACTTGCAAACCACCTTGACTGGTACACTACACTTTACGCTACAGATACGCCAGCCATTGACAATAATATTTCTCCAGAACAAATATCCCAGTTCCACTCTGACATATCTTCAGAGAACACTATCCTTTCCCTTTTCTCAATGTTTTGCAACTTGACTGCACTCAACTGGGAGAACGAGCGATTATTCGTCAACAAACTCTTCTCATATATCATTACTTTTTTAATACGCGAGCTCTCAACGACGTTCTATCGTCTGTGTTGCTATATTGTCGTCTACCTTTCGTTTCTATCAAAGGGGCTTTCGTCAAGAAACGCACAACAAAGAAAGATATTGACAAAGTTTGCCGATTCACAACAGGCATTTGCGGCGATACTTGATTCCGATGCAGTCAGAGTTTACTTCCCAGACGCCCCTTCTTACACTCCAGTCAGTGCGTCAAAACTTTTGGAACTCCTTCAAGTCTCTTCCAATTTGTCACAAGGCATCTCGGTCTTGACAAGTGGTGAAAATGTGGAAAGTAGTGAAAACGCAGTGGAGACAAAGCATTTGGAAAATGAAATATGTAAAGAAACAGACGTGTTCTCAAAACAGGTTGTCCATAAAATGACAGACTTCGAGTTCTTCACAAGAATTAAGTCCGAGTCACAAACCCCGTCACGAACAACTTCAAGGAGTTCGTCACAATCTAAACAACTTTGTAGATACTCAGAGGACGGAAGAGCAGTAACAAGATACTCCAATTCCGACGGAAACATCATTTACGACCAACTCGGAACAAATTCAAATACAATTAGTGATGAGAAAGGAAGAAGAGTGTCGACATCATCATGTCTCAGCAGAAACATTTCATTTCAAGAAGACAGTGTTTTTGAAATTGGAGAGGATCTTACTCACTAATTTGGGTGAAATCAAGAAATCTTGCTTATAACCAACAATTGAATGTATTTTAATTGCCTTGTTTGTGTTACTTTACTTAATCGAGATATCTGTTTGATAAATAAACTATGGCACAACTCACACATTTTTTTAATACAAAGTTGCCTTAAAAAGAGAAGGACTTCCAAAGCAATCAAAACTCTTTTGTTTGCTTTTTTAAACACAAAATGACGAACATAACAAAAACAACACGGGATATTCAATAAGAGTGCAAAAAGACAATGTCTGCGGCTTGAATCATATGTTTGTCAAGCACATTCATATAAAATTTTGCTCTTAAATTCAAGTCGATATCAACATCGTCCAAACACTTTTTAGTGACTTCTTTAATAAGCACAGAACACCGTTGTTTATTTCGAATAAAAGATTTAACTGTTGCAGAGAGAAGAGCATCTTTGTTTCGACTCGAAAGCGTTTCAAACCGGTCCAAAGCGTCGACAAGAACTTCGAAATTAAAACACTCCTCATACTCTCCACAGAGGTACAACACATAACTCAAATCCTCTTCGTCGCATTCAAACACCTCACTCGAATCTTTCAATAAGTAAGCCAAGTTTCTCACATCGTCCGAAGAGATGTCGTTGTAGTATATAATAAGTTTCACAATCCCACTCAACAACTTGAGCTCGACTTTCTTTCTTAAGTCCCTATTCAGCAATTCAACCACCCCAGAAATCACCACCTCTCCGCTTTCGCGATTCTTACACCCCATCTCTACAAGTGCCTCTAAAATTATTGGCAACAGCGAGACATCCAACATTAGTGTTTGAAAGTGTTTCATCACAAATTTGAGCCTTTCAACAGACGTGTTGACCTTCATGATTTCCATCTTGACAAACACAATTTCCTCCGGGTCGTTGTACGTTGGGATGATCAGTGCCGAGTCTTTATAGAAAAAGGAATATCGCTTACTGATTTCCAGAATCGTGTTAAGAATCTCCAGCACAACTTGTGCGTTCACAGAGGAGTAATAATTGAACAACCCGTCGATGCCTTCTGACGCACGTTGTAATATTTCTTGAGTATATTTCTCGTCTTTGATAAATTTCTCCGCTATGAACAAAAAGAGTTTAATTGTCTCGATCACTGCAGACGGGTCTAAGCAATCGACATATGGATCAAAGGAGTTCATCACACTCTCCACATCTTCGTATTCCATTACACTACTTTCTCGCAGCAATACTGCAGCTTCCGCAACCTCAATTGGTTGTAATCTGCTGACCAATGAGACAATGTGTTGAATATTTCTTCGATTCAAAGTGACTACACCGTTATTCATTTCTTTCAATATAAGTAACGAATCAAGTGATATCGATGCGTCTTCGTCAAGTGTCATTTTACTCACTTTCTCCGCAAAGTCGGACTTGATCTTCAAATCCAACTTCTCGCAACATATTTTACCAAGCGCCATTAATGCACATCTCTTCACATACCCATTGCGATCATCAAGCAGACGATCTATTTCATCAATCAGATGTTCGCGAACGGTTTCGACTCGGAAGTTAGACATACACCTGACGGCAAGTCCCCTCACAATCGGGTTTGCCGCTCTGCAGTCTTTGTAAAATGTGTTAACGCACAAAATCGAGAGCTCCAGGTTTTTGTCGCAGTACGTGCAGAGGAACATGTACACCATTTTCTTTAATTCAACGTCTTCCGTCTCGCACCCCATCAAGACATCAGCAAAGAGTGGGGACATATCGACCCCACGCGTTGTTTGCATGATGATGTTCTGCATTATCCGTTTAGTTTCATTGACATCGCGGGAACTGATAGATGAGCTCAAGCGTGTTTGATACGTTTTGATCTCTCGTTTGATCATTTTGGTCTGTCTTTTTAAGTTCCTTCGTACTATTTATACACCCATAGAGTTAACAATTCACTCGAAAATCAATTAAAGTCGTCACCGTCCATATCACCGGCTTTTTCCGAGAAGGAATTAATCACTTCTCTCAAGTCATGTTCTGGGAATGTGTCTAGTGTTGGGATCAAGTGTTTAGCTTGTGTGATATCTTTTGGTCTGAAGTTACATAAAGAGACAATTTCAAGAGCGGAGAGGTCATACCCGTTCGCCAATTTGTCTTTGATTTCCTTGTCGTCTGTATTCACTCCAATCCGTTCGCAGTAGAGAGCTGTTTCTTTCGAGCTTGAAGTTAGTTATTTACATAATTACTTGAAAAGTGATATAAGAAACATACTAAGTCTCGTTCTTATTTTTACAACATTCGTAGACTTCACTCATAGTCATGGGTTTAGCGTTTTTAAAAAGTTCGCCATAATTTGCTTTGTCAATATTTCTGTCGGTTCGCGTTGGTTGAATAGTTGCGTCTTCCATAGTGCTGTTTGGAGTGGTTTTTTCACTTTTTGTTTTGTGTTTTGTTTTATTCATATACTATTCTATAAATATTCTATATATATATATTAATAATATATTATTTATATATTATTATATATTATTTATATTTAATTTATATTAAAAGAAGAAAAGATTTTAAAAAGAAATAGTGAAAACCACTAATTCATTTATTAAGATTTTGATGCTAAAAAGAACTAGACAGAATAGTATTAGGGGTTTTGAAGAAATATGAAACCTTGGAACTAGAATTAACTGTTCTGTAAAATGTCTACCCAGGTGCAAGATGTCCCAGTCATATACGCAACAGTTATCGAAATCCTTGGAAGAACTGGTTCTCGTGGTGGTGTAATCCAAGTCAGATGTGAGATTAAGGACCAGAACAGACAAATTTGAGAAACGTAAGG